AAACATATACACCTCTCTGCGCGCACACACACAGTTTCCCACTGCGGACTGCTACATCAAGCGGAGATTTCTGAGGTGCTGTCGCCGGTTTTGCGCGGCCTCTGTGGAAAGTGTATTTGCGTGGCTCTGTGCCATTGGGGAAGGATGCACGTGTGTGTGTGTGTGGGTGGACGGCCAGGGTGGACAGAGGTGGCCAGCTAGGGTTGCTTTAGGAGCCTGCCTAAATTTAAGAAAACTTGCCTAACATCGCCCCGCATGTTGTTGGTTTAGTAGTAGGTTAAGAATGTAAAACAAGGTAAACCCTAGTCATGGTTTCCGACATGCATTACTAGTTTTCAACTTAATTGGGCAGCCTTTTTCATCGCAGCGCGGGTTACTCAACCCCAATAAATGCCAACATTTTAGCAGTTCCCTACTTGTTGTAGTGCGGACCAAGGCGAAGACGAAGGCAGAACATTTCGAGCAAGCAGGATGGTTTCATCGTGGTTTGTTACAACCACCAAACATGAAATTAAACATTTGAGGAACTTTGACATCGTTTTCGTGAACTGGTGGAAAATTCGTGTAAACTGCAAGAACCTGCCATTCAATTTTTGTGAATAAGGCCGTAAGGCTTCAGGCTTGAGCACGGTCAAACCAATTGACGGAAATTGGACCTTTGGGTGAAGGAAAGTGAGCTCTGCACTGTGGAAGATGTACACGGAGATTCGTTGGGTTTGTTCGCCAGGTGCTATTCCTCACCTTCATGGTGTTCCTGAAGGTTGTGGATGAAACCCGCGATGTCCAGTGGTGAAACCATGGCAAAACCTGAATGTATACGGTTAATGCATAAAAGAGGGTTTTATGGCGTGATTCATCGAGAGTCGACATTATAGGGGAAGCGGCTCTTACAAGGACCACCGCTATTAGACATCTTGGAGTAGCAAACACCATCCCCACCTCAATACCCTGGTTTCCTTCATCCCAGGAACTACAAGATTTTTCCTTGAACAGTTTCGCTGGGAGTGCCAGTCCTCCAATATCAACACCAATCCCTTGGAGACGAATTCGACGGTTCCCGTGCAGCTGGTTTTGGAATTTGGAAAGGACCCAAGTTGGTTTTTGTACTCTTGAAACAGTTCAATTCGGTGGTTGTTCAGGAATTTCAGGCTTGTGGGGCTGCATGCTCTGTCAACCACCCCGAGAATTCATCGACTCATCGACTCCTGGGGGGTTCCTGCAGGGCTCCACCTGAGATTCAAAGCGGTTGACCATGGCCATGATGACCATGCATGTTGTTGGCTCGAGCTGGTTGTTGGCTCGAGCACAGTCTGGAATCCATCGATGTATGTCCTACTAGTCTATGTGTGTGCATGTGTGCGTGTTCTTTTTCTTCAGTGCCATATATAGTCACTATGTGTTCTCTCCACGTCCTTTTCGCCAACGGCCTGGTGCCATCACGGTTCGGGCTTCGGTGTAAGCCGGACGCGCAGCCGCCACTCGCGTCCGCAGCGTCCGGCTTCGGCAGGTCTCGCAATCTGGACTCTTCCTGGTTCTGATGCTCATTGGCTTCGCCATGGCACGAACCCCCATTGGTCTTGGCATTCACGAGCTCATGTTATTTTAGTATGTTAAACATGATGGTTTATGACCGAACTTCGGTGTGGGGGGGGGGGGCAGTTCAGGCAGTTCAGGGGTTCCGCATTTGGACAGATCAACGGGTTGGCCTGAGGATCCATGAAAAAGATCTACTTGATCTACAGGGGTTACCCCCCTTTAGAACCTTTGAATTTAACTGTCTCGAATTGTAGGTGGGTGTTCACGTCGAATTCACACGACAATTCGTCGTTGACTGACGTCGTGTTTGTGCTGGAATTGGACGCTCCATGACGTCCTGGAGACTTGTTGAAGCATTTTTTAATGCTTTCTTAAACAACATCATTTGCTTTCGCAAAAGCCACAGAACTCGCACAAAAGACCACCGAACCTCCTCCTCTCTCCGTATCCAAAGAATTCCTCCGGAGGGGTGGATGCTGGCAGCCCAACAGATCGGATGAACCCAGGATGGAACCCCTTTGCCATCCTGAAATGCATTAGACTCGAATTGCATGGATGACTTCTCTGAAATGGATGACTTCTCTTCGTCCCACTTGAACTTCTCTGAAATGCATCCAGACTTCTCAAAAGGGCTCCATTTGGCCCACAGAAGTTGGACGAAGATCCCTCGAGCTCCGCCCCACCACAACCCGCGGAACCCGCGGAATGGAACGCGGCCCGTGAAAACGGCGTTTTTGCGGCGACTTCAAGCGCGTGCTGCGTTTTGGGCTCAGCTTCGCTCGACGTCACCGAAGTATCGGGTGACCCATACAGATCCGAACGCCTGCGTTTAGGGCGGCACATGAGAAAACCCGACGGAAGGATTCTATGGTTTTTGATCGGCAGGTGGAAAAGCATTGACTGCAGACAAACCAATGGGTAAGCACCATGGCATGGTCAAAATATTGTGAACACATGGCGAAACGATGGCAACATAGGGTTTCAGCATGGTATCATTACTTTTTTTTATCTTCTTTTTTCTGCTTTACAAAGCCAGGCTTCCCCGCTCTTCCGTGGTCTCCCAGCACAATCGACGCAGCTTCGGCCATGCATGCGGGCGAAGACCGCCAGCGGCTGGCTGAGGAGGCACCATACGACTGCACAGACTTGATAGGGAACAGTATCGACATGTCGACCCAGATGGCCTAAACCCTGACAGTCCAAATGACTCATTGTACCCCTATGGTAGTGGTGGATTGTGGCTACCAGGTGGAGTAAAATGAGTCATTGGAAGACCTCGGATATACATGGAGGCCATCCAACCCCCTGTGATAGATGGACAAAAAGAAACCTGGGGTTTGCGGGTCTGGGTCTCATTGGAGCAAGATTAAATGACCTCTGGGTCACTAACAGCACGTGATGGGAAGATTATAGAAGGTGCTTTCTACATGGACCATCCAGTGGGTGTCATGGAAATCTCTGGGTCGTGTAGGGTAGTCCATGGGACACCCAGACAGGATGGTCCGGGTAGCAACTCATTCGTTTGGGGCGTGCTTTGGCCCTTTGCCTTGGCCACTCCTTTTGGTGAATTCTGGGTCGGGGCCATGGTTGAATGCGCCTGCAATGCGCCTGGGCGGATCACTTTGGGACAAGAAGCAGGTTGCACGGGCTTTACTGACCAATGATTTTAATTGGACTGGTTTCGTTTTTTTTTGTAACCCATGATTCATTTTTGAACATCTTCGAGCTGTGTTTCCAATTCTTTCCCAGTTCCCGCGTGAATCACCTGCCAGTCCGAAAGACCTCCCTGCCTTCCCAGAACTCACTAGGCATGCCACCCGATGGAGACGCCGAAGAGGCGGAGACTGGAGATGTGTCTTCGGTCGACCGAGCCGAGCAAACAGAGGTGGCACGGCTATCCCGAACGTTCGGCTATCCCAGGAACCGGTACCCCGGTCGGTGACGGGTCCTAGTTACTAGTCACCTGAACCTTTTTTGTTGGTGTTGGATCATTTTCAGGTCACCGGGATCGTGGATGACATTGACATCGTGTGATTGCAGCCCAGGCTACAGAGGAGCAGTGTATGAGTGTTTCCTGAAAACCATCTTTGTTTGTGAACTTTGCCTGGTACCGAACAGAAATAGTGAATAGTGAACAGTGACAAGAAGTCACCAACTCAATAAAGCAGCTGTCCTGACCTTGGAAAACATGATAGACACATATGTTACTCACCGAGTCATTATTTACTTTGGTATGCGAAGATTCTCAACTTCGTGGTACCATGCCCACCATGCTAGCAATTCCCTCAAGGTCTTTTTCTAATCCCTTTTCTAATTCTTCACCCTAAAACCACGTGCAAAGCCACCAGCTTAACCGCTAGACACCACACAACTTCTCACTCGGAATAATACTTGGCAACATCACCACCTGCAGTGAAACCTGCCACAACCCTCCAAAAAAACGTTTCTTTCCCTTGCTTCCAGGGAACGGGCCCCGGCCTTGCCGGGTTGGAGCGCACGGTGCACCAGAGCGCCGTCTTCCATGAGCTTGGGCACCCAGACCGTTGGCCAAGGCAGGTTCAGCGCAGAACAGTGAATCCCGTTCAGCGCAGAACAGCATTGTTGTACCTTGTCCCGGTGTGGTGTCGAGAATTAGAGATGAGTTGTGGTTGAGTTGTGGTTGGTGTTGTCATCAAGGAAGGTGCATATTAGACTCCTTGATTCCCTGATGACACCACCAACCACAACTTAATATGTGTGTATGTGTTTGCCATTGTTTGTTGCTTGTTGTCATGTTCTATCCTTTGTGTGTATCGAGCCTGAAAGCCTCTCTGGCTGGCCGTGAGTTTGCAGGTGGTTTGCAGGTGACCTGATGGGACAGTTGACGTGACTCATGGGGGGAGGGAGGGGGGAAAGGAAGAAGAAAAGGAATCGGAGAGGGAATGAGAAAAAGGAATGAAAAGGAATGAACACGCATGAAACATCAGTATGACTCAGTATGACGCTGCCAGACAAGGAACAAGAAAGCGAGTGGAAAGCAAATGGCAGTATATTGATAAGCCAACGATACGAAATAGGACATGGACGTGGTGTACCAAACCGCAGCGCACCGAAAGAGGAACATGAAGGCTGAGGCTGGGTTCGATGCCAGGGCCACAATGACAGCAGGCGGTCCCCCCAAAAAAAGGGAAGAAAAAGGAAAGAAGAGGAAGACCAAACATCTGTCGGTTATCTGGTGTCGCGATATTCTTTCAATTGGCTTGGGGCCGGTACCTTGATTTGGACTAAAGTTTCGGAAAAGTATCGTGATTGCCACGGACTACAAACAGGGTCGAACCTGGCTGCCGTGTAGCTTCCATTTGCATTGCCCAGGCCTTGTTGCCGAAAGCGTGTTTGCCTGCGTCCGCAGTCGGAGTTGGTGTACATGTGCCGCTACCCAAATCTGCAAACTTGCTTTGCGACAGCGGGATTTTTTTGCGCATGCAATGGGCGTGATCAAGGCTCTGAATGTGCTTGGAACCCTGACTGCGGCGGTGGCACGGAGCCGAAGCTTGCGAACCACGCAATTGCATTGGCCGTCGCCGCCCAGAAAGGTGCGTGAGGTGCGTGACGCGCCCAAGAAATGCAACGCGCTCGCAATAGCTCAGCTGGGATCCGCGTTGTTGCAGCAGACTGGCCTGTGACGTGAAGTGCTCTTCTTTTGCACTTCCTCCCCTCTTGTTTTAAGAAACTTACCGGGATAGGTGCCTCGGCATTGGGTCTGGCTGTGCCATGCGAGGCACCACATGAACTGCCCATGCTTTGCCCATTTTTGCCCGAACCAAACATGAATAGAATCTCTTTTGGACACAACACAAAAGGGAACATAATTGCTGCGTGAAATTATTCGGGTTTTGAAATCACATCCCACTCATCTTAATTGATGGTCGTAGTGAATGCCACTGCCCTTTGACAAGGATGCCGATCAGGTTAGTGGTAGTTTAAATAAGGCTCCCTGCTTTTGTTTCAGGCTAATTAGACCCCCATCGCAAGGACCAACATTTTTAACTATGGCACCACGTGTGGGTCACTGGTCACTGCTCGGTTGATGCAGAAGAACACACAATGTTCCAGGGGTGCAATTTCTGTCTCAACTGCCTGAGATCTTTGTAGCAGATCTTCCACTGGCCCCTTAAGGTGCAGCTATGAGTTTGTGGAAGCGATCATGTTGCACATTCGGAAGATCCTGCTTCATCCAGAAAAGGCGGGGGCTGCTCGTTGGCTGCTGGCAGTTGTGTTGGGTTTGGCGGGACACCTTTTGTTTTAAACACAGTATCAAAAACTGATAAAAACCACTGCACAAACACCTTGCCTGATCTTCGAAACACATGTCTTCTCAACACTAACAGCTTAGCGTGCTATATAGTAGCGGCAAAACTGTTTCGAAGTCCAGTCAGGTTTTCGACGAAACACACAGGTGTTCGACGAAAGGATACCAAAAGCCTAAAGGTTGCTGACATGGGTTCCAAACACAGGATGTGTTCTTCAGACGCAGATCAACTAGCCACGCAGGCGTCTCATGGCGTCTCATCAAATGCACCTTAAGCATTGACAACGACATGTTGTCTGTCAATTGTCGTTTGCTGCTTGTAGAAAAAGTATGGGGTTGCCAGATGTTGTGGTTCATACCTCTACCACAGACTAAAGAGTGGGCCAGGGCGTTTTTGTTGATCTTTGGGTCTTTGATTCATTCGATGTGAGATGTGAAGCCTGCAAGTTGACAGGGCCTCTAGTCTGAGGGTCGGAGAGGTGTGACATTGTCACCCCTTCAGAAGGGACCCAAAGAGGTTTGGTTGCCTACTAGACCCGGATTCTGTGTCGGAGTCATGGCCCGTCTACACTCCCTGGACCTCACATGGTTACGTCGGATGGCATGGCCTGAAGAGGAGGAGCATCTTCCGAAGACCAACAGGAGGTGCCATCCACGTAACCATGTGAGGTCCAGGGAGTGTCGTTCCAAACCGTTAGAAAGCCTCGGTCTCGGTCTCGAGCGACTTGAGGTTCTGGTGAAGGAGGAGGACAACGTCCCACGCTCCATGTGACCCACAAGGGGCGGAGGACAAAAGAGGTCCTGAAAAGACCAAGGTTGATGGAACATGGGCATCAAATACCAGTTCCTCTGCAAAAAGGGTGTGTTCCAGTCACATGAGGGAATTTTCATGATTTTTTTCCGAGGTCTGAACCATTTCAGCTTGTAGCGCAGTTGGGAGAGGTTTGTGGGGAAGTTTTGGCAAAATCCTGACAAATTGTCATCATGCAAGCTAGGCATCAAATGGTTCCGATGTTTACTTGGTACTCAAGTTTATATATATATATAATATATATATATATCTCCTTATTCAGCCCAGTCCAGATGGTAGGCAAACAATTGCCAGATGGTCGGTACATTGTTGGAGGTGGGTGAATGAATTGGGGATCCCTCCGCAGGCTGCCGCGTGGCAGGTACTTTGTGCTTTTTGGCAACTTAGACCTTTTCCGTCTTGGCAAATTTATAGGCGCGCAGGGCGGGCATGGCTGAAACTGGAGATGCATGGAGACGAGAGTCTTTGAAGAACCATCAATACAAAATAGATCACAATCAGGAAACCTTTTGGCAGAACTGGTGTTTCCTTTTTCAAACCTGACCGACCATATCGTTGCGCCATGGCACCCTGATATTTGGAGTCTACTCTCTGCCCTGCCTAGAACCTGCCCTGCCGTGTCTTTAAGATGAGGAAACATCAGCCAAGCATGTGGCATCATGTGGCAACAGCACTTCTACGCGTGGATATGCATGGATGGTTTTTCTGAAGAACATTTCAACGTCTCAAAGACGGTCGCTGATGGCATGTGGACGGTGCCCAAAGACCGAGTCTCTGGCGAGCCATCACACCATCCGCAGGGCTCGAGCGTCCCTGGTTTTGGCCATCCAAAGCTTCCAAGAGTCTTTGAGGGTCCACACCCTGGTGAGAGTCCCTGAGCGTTCAAGAATCTTTGAAGTGAGTCTGGCAGGATCCAAAGCCCGGAATCATGCAGGATCAAGCTGGGATTCTTCGGCATCGCCACCTGGGATTCTTCGACACATTTCAAGTAAAACCACATCACCCCTTTGTCGCTTCTTTCTCGCGCCAAAACGCAGAAGATGGTGCGCGGTGAGACTTACTGCCCCTCGTTCCCGGCTTTTGACCTGCCCCTCTGCTCTGCCAGGCACCATCTCCAGTGGCCAAGTCATTGGTGAAGGTGTTTTGCTGGGCATCCTTGACAGGTGCGGGAACCCTGTGGGCGCGAAACGATGTTTTTCAGTCTTGAGGCCCGGTCAAGTGTCTGGCAGGGCTGGGGAGATGGGGGCGGGAGCGGACTGGGGTGAACCAGACGAAGCACCGGTGGATTGAGCCAGCCCTTGGAACCGGTGCTACTGTCAGTCCCTCCAACTGGAGAAGCATGGAAAATAATGGAAACAGATCGAAACTAGGGATCCTCACCAGTACCACTGATAGAAAGTGGCTCTGCATTTTGTGAGGCCAACCTGTCAGTCGGGTCCATCGTGGTCACCACACACCAATTGGCCAGGTGACAACCCCCAAAAGGAGCCCTGCAATCACATGCAAGAAGGCTTCTTGCGTGATCTCTCAGCCTTCCTTTGGCCCTCAGACTGACTGGAGTCCGGGTCTCCGGAGAGTCTCCGAATCAGCGCCAGTTGGAGCTGCACGGCGGTGGCGAGGAACTCCTGCATGTTGGCGGAGATCACCTCCAGCGCCTTAATTGAGGCGACTATTACCGCGTCGTTTCGCCGCGGAAATGCAAAGGAGGAGCGAGGAGGAGGAGGTTGGTTTGGCGGCGGTGGTGGTTGCGCATGGAATTTCTTCCATGTCTAGCTGTGTGCGAGTTCCTCGGAAGTTGGTCATGTTTGGACTAAAGTTGGTTCAGATGTGGCTATGCTGGCACGTCCATAGAAGATCTCCGTTCGATGAAGAAGAGTCAGCATATGTCAGCATATTGTTTTTGGGGAAAACGCCACATGTTTCACATGCGTTCCAAAGGTTAATGCGATTAATGCGGTTAATGGAGTCATGAATCATGTCTCACCGTCTCATGGAATGAAATGTACCAGATTCTTCGAGGGCTTTGTCACCTGGAGAGGCGGATTCTTGGGGTAGCGGGGTAGCTGTGTCTCGTTATATTTTTCGATATATGATATGGATGTGATTTGCTGGGGTAGAGAGTTTGTTATAGAAAGACGTGCATTTCTTTAATGGTCATTTCTACTGTAGTGAGTCTATGTTGCAATCAGAGACAGTTTCATAGACGTTTCGGGATAGAGAGCAGGTGACTTGATCGTCCTAAACAATGGGTGTCACTTTGTCACCCCATCAAAATGACAGATCACATCACAACACTCCCTATGCATAGATTGTTTCTTTGTTTTTCCACAGTCCGAGCCTCTCACAATATTATGCCGACAGCCGACAGCGATGACTATCGGGCATGGTGACATGGAGCTTTGATTGATTTCTCCTCAAAATATGCATCTCATCCCTCATCAGAGCGTCTCCCTCATCCATGCACACTTGTAGTGGATTGAGCGTTTATAGATGGCAGATGGCACAATCCTCAAAAGGAGGTTTATAGGGACCCCCATTTGAGAGACATATTGGGGTTTATTAAACCGCTGCAAAAAAAAGAACCCCCGTGAACCCGCCGCGCTTGCGTTTCCGCGTGGCTGCGAAGCGAAGTTCTGCAGCTTCTTCGCAGGTCCTGCAGGAGCACCCGGAGGAGTCGTGCTGTCTCTTTGAACTGGTTCCGGTGGATGTGAACATGTCCAAAGCTTGGACCGATTTGGCACACCCGTCGTTTGTTCAGCTGTTGGTTCTTGCTTCATCGCAGGGACATGGGTACATCGTAGGAGCACGGAAAAGCGAGCTTGGGTTCCCAGATGGGATGTGTGGGATGGTGTGGGATGGTGCTCCAAGCTTGATACCTTCCCTAGGAGTCCAGTTCGACTGAAGGTTGCAGGATAGTCCTCCAACTCGGGTCACCTAAACAAGACCATTCTTTTGATGGTCGATGTCGACTCGCAGGGCCCTTCAGGCCAGACCCTGAAGTGGGACCAAGTACTCCGGCCGTCGCATGGCCAGGTCGGAGTACTTTGATGCTCTTTCAGCTTCTGAGCTGCAGGGCGGTCTGCAGGTTTGCTTCCAGAACATTGGTGCCAGCTGCCAGCTAGGCTGAGCTAGTCATTGCAGATATAGTCCGGTATAGTTGTATTGACTTGTATTGCAATGCTCCAAATCCTGTTAGGGTATGGTTTGTATGTTGTCCACCACGAATGTCACTACACCAAGCAAAAACGTTCGACACCAACAATAATCGTTCGGCACCGTAAGTTTGTCTGCACAAGCATTCCTAAGAATTCTTGTGTACACTAGGAATTCCTGCTCCTCAGGGTTAGCAGGTGTGATCAGGTGTGTGTATACACCTTGAATGAACTTTGATGAACTTGGGACCGGTTCATGATAATTGCGGCAAACCACGCCAGCTGGAAGCAGTTCTTCATAATGTAATTACTTGATTTCATTTGATTTCTATACACCATGCATGCTCCAGTACTTACTGCGCATAAAGCATCATAAAGCCCAGGAGTTTCGAAGGTTGCATCTCTCATTGTACAATACCCTCCTCATTCGTGGCCAAGGAATACTTCGCCATCCGAAAAGAGGAGAGTGGGGTCTTGCTGGGGTCTTGCTTTCGCTCTGCGTTCCATGCCTGTTTTCGATGGTCGCCGGAGAGGTCGGTGCCGAGACCCCGCCACTGTCGGCAATCCAGCCACCTCGGTCCTTTCGCAGACCGGTGACGCCGTCGCCAGACGGGTTACGGGGCGGTACGGCATACCAGCGTTAAGTGCTGGGGCATTTGCTTCAGTGCTGGAGCGAACGAGGAACATCACCGTGAATCCTGCTTGTGACGATCGCAAAAGTACAAGATGACCATTCGCAAGGCTCAATGCCAGCAAGTGTCAGGTTGCAGCGCGTGAAACATCTCTTACATGGAGCCCTTCTTGACAGTTTTTCGCACGTCAAAGTTCTAGTAGTGTTCCCATTCCACACTCCTTCACTTCTGCAATCTCATTTGGGCACAGCATCTCAGAGTCTTGAAGCCTTTCCTGGCCCACTGAGTGCGTTCATGTACCTCTTCCCAATCCTAAAACCCCTAGTCACTAGGCCATGTACTGCTTCTCCGTCGCGCAGGAGCTGGAGCCCCAGGAGCTCCGCCGGTCCCTACGGCGCATGCCGTGCCTCCGACAAGCCAGCGAGGCGCCTCCGACCAGCCCGGGACCGGGCAGTGCGCTCCCGAACGTCTGAGAGGCCAAACCGTAACCACGAGTGGGCTAGAGGGGTAGCACATTTGGGTGATTTGGGTTACGGATGGCTATGGTGATTTTGGGCGTCCATGGATGTCCTGATTTGTTGATGGTATTTCATGGATCAAGATGCCAAAATGCCAAAGCCACCCCTTTTCAAAGGACAGGCTGTCAAAAATATCTCAAACATCTCAAAATGTTGGATGTGTGTTGCCACATCCACTAAGCTTTTTGAGGCCTCTGAAAAAGGATTGGGAATGTAGATGAATTGATGAACTGAAGGACATGTTGATGGTGGATAAAGAATGCGAGGGATTGGTGAAGTACCTGCTGAAAGTACTGGAGTGAAGCTCGATGTGAAGAAGCTCAAAATCCGATGATGAGGCAAGAAGCCCAGTGGAAGACCTTTCTCCATAATATTTTGATGTCTATTATATAATTTATCCCTTCTCCTTTGGGATAGGCTACAACGCCACAAGAACCCCATCTTTGCAAGAACCCCCAAGGCCAATGATATACGCTACCAACCCGACCCCCGCCGCGGGGCCAGGAGTTTCTGGAGGCCCTCGAGCAAGGTGGGGAGGGCAGATGCACGTCACTCCTTGGCCTAGCCTTTTGTTAACCATTTGTAATGTAGACTCATTAATATCTCTTGATGTTTTTGAACCTCCCAAACATGAAGAGATTGATCTTTGCTACAGGATCGTTTTTCAAACGGCAGGATTGAAGATGCACTTCATTTGCGGCGACGATCGGTTGTGGAATGGGTGGAATGCTAGTAGTATGCCGTCGGTGACAGTGAGTGACAGTGGTGAGAGGGGTGCTGGAAGTGGTGGATAAAGTGCGACCATGGCGGAAAGTGCAATGTGTGCTTGCGCAAGACCTGAGGGGTGTTGCTTCTTTTTGGTGAGTGCATAGTACCCAATTAAGAAATATTAAGAATGAGGTAGCTGAACACAGTATCTATATTACACCCGGGAAGATTTAAGATTCACATGGAACCTGATGGCATGGACCAGACTGGAAGACGATTTTCCGAAGACAACCCAGTGGTTTTCAGGTTCCATATTAATTTTTGTTGGGTGTAATTATAAACGATGTTGGACAAATGCTGGTCTCAGGTTGAACCAGCTTCTTAGCCGCAGGCTCTGAGGAAGAGCTTGTGCGTTGGCCTGTTTGAGCAAGTTCACCCCTCAATTTTTTTACGGCCCGGGTTACAGTGTTTCGGGCTCTACGATCACTCAGCAGGCTTGTGTAGGAGTTCCACGATCACTATGATCACTTGGTGAAAACATCTGAGAAAACATGGAATCCAAGGTCGTCGTCGCTCGTGCAGCCAAATGGCTTTAGCAATTCCGGCTTTCTTGGCCTACATACGTATAAATAACATGTGATCCCCCGAATAGATAGTGGCACGGTTTCCAGCACATTTAAGGTGGATATGCTATTTATTTGGGGTTCTTTGTTTTCCTTTTTGCCTTCGCAACCTTTGCCGTCTGCTGCAAAACACCTGTCCTGGATCAGAAAAACATCCAAGTTTGCAAGTCTTTTGTGACCTTTTTATTCGCTATTGCCAGCAACAGATGTTCCGCAGCTTCTTCATTACGCCTCAGCCCGTTCACAGCTTTCACTTCTGTAGCTTTCTGGGTGGCTGTAGACTGGTAGACTTACAGGCAAACTTATCCAAAGGTCAAAGGGATTTGGTACAAAGACAACATGTTTTCAGTGGATTGATTCGGTCGTGTCTTGGCAACATGCCGGATGCGGAGGTCTGGTGCATCAGCTCTATTTTGCAGAGCAGTGCATCGTGAACGAAGGCCCCTTCAGAGGACTATGGCTTCGGATGGGCGCATGGTTGAAGGGTTTCGGACGATGCCGGTTCATGCCGGTTCGATATAATGCATGTTTGGTGTGGATCTTCTGGTTCGAGACTTGTTGCGGGTGGAGAACGAGTCAAAGATTCAGGTCATTGACTGGACATGACTGGACTGCACAAGCTTCGAGTTGCAGGACTTGGTTTTGCAATCAATCCTCCTAGAATCATGAGGTGAATGATGGATTGCATCCTCCATGGTTTGTTTGCATCAAACAAATCCAGTGTGGCGGGTCTCAACTACGGTTTTCTTCAGATAGTCTCCTCTCGTCTTTGACCCAGTTTAGCGTTGCACCACTACTTCGCGAGGGTTCACGCTTGCGGCATTCAAGTATTCATGGTACGTGTCTAGCACTGAACAAGTTCTTTACTTTTGTGCTTCGAAACTCGACACCCTCAAAATACCCGAAACATTTGATCGGTAGCAATGACACATGCATGTTGCGAGAGGCAGAATCCTGCAGCATTTGGTTCTTCCTTTTGGAGGTTCTTGGCTAAGCAAATCCCAAATCGCCCCGAAGGCCGAGAGTCGGGCCCAGGCGGAGTCTCCACATCCAGAGCCTCGGAAGACTTCCTGCTTGTTATTTGGTACACTCTGACTCACTAACATAGAAGTGGAAAATGGCCCCTTGGAAGACTACTTTCCTACAGTATACAAACAGGGTGTGCCATCCACTTCCACATGATGTGTTCGTAGGAGTGCCATTCACATGTTGGAAGCTGACAAGAGCTCGCTCGTGCAGGCCAAGATAGCAACTTCGCTGCCTTCCTCGGTGACGGCGAGGTCACCATTGAGGCCCAAGGGACCGAACTCACTGCTCAAGCACTGCTTAAGCACGGCCGTGCTGAAGCACTGCTTTCTTGGTATTTCTCTGAGAATTGGAAGCAGGTGTGGCTCCAATCCGCCATGCGGTGCCCAATTTGGGTCCTGTCCTTTGTGGGGCTTCTTCTGCCTCGTTGCGAGGCTGCAGGGCGGCAGGTGAGGCGCGAGGAGGTGCCCTTCGTCGAGATGTGCTTCACCATGGCCGGTGAGGCGGACCAGGCGTGGCGGACCAGGCGGACCAGGCGGAGGCAGAACCCGGTGAGGCAGAACCAATTCGAAGTGGTGAACGTCTATAGCGGGTGAACTCCGTCTGTTTGGGGATTGGTGGGAGGAAGGTCTGTTTGGGGAGTAGTTGGGTAGACCTTTCCTTTGAGATGAAGCTGGACGATGTTCGATACATGACCCCGGTTGATAGGAACCGCTGGTTTCCAACACAGAACGGAATACAGCCAAACCCAGCAATTTGTACTGTGCATCATATATTTGTGCCATCATTGACTTGTATTTCTCTCTCTCTCTCTCTCGCTCTCGCTCTCCAAGCAGAGAAGACCTCTTGTCCTGAGATGTCCGAACTGCGAGCGGGTACGATCTCGGAGGGTCAGAGAAATCAGTCTCCTGCTCGTTGGCACGATCCCGGACCCATCTCACTTCTCGTGCAAGGTCCTTGCAATGTAGACTCTTGATGGACCAGTGTCTGTTCATCAAGAGTCTCTACATTAACCAAATTGAGAGGCTTTGCCGCTGGTGGCCAGGAGGGTGTTCACAGCCACAGCAGCCAGGTCCGAAGACCTCGGAAATCGAATTGATATTTGATCATTGGTCTACTTGGTAACGTGTCAGGGGGGCCTGGCACTTCCCAAAGTTCAAAGCACAGTAAATGGCATAGTAGGCTGGTTACGGTTTGTGATCCCCAAACTGACCAGTGTTTCTGCCGTACCCTCCCAGCTCATCTCTCACAACACCAAAGAGATAATTACGCCAATCAGGAGAATCGACGGCTTCATCGAACCAAGAACACCCAATAGTTGGTTTGTTGTTCTGTGAGCCTTCTGATTTCGATGATCATAAAAACTGCAAACAACCTACTTAGTGGACTTAGCCAGACTTCACACGGACGCGGCCCACAGCCAGGGCAACCTACGCTTTGCCACCGTGGACAGTGAGGCAGCCGCGGACTGGATCGCACTCGGTCAAAAGGCTATTATAGCATGCTATACAGTGGGCGAAGCTAAAAGATCCCCGTGATTCCCTGCTAGAGAGATGGGAGACCCTGCTAGAGAGATGGGAGACCAGATGTGATTGATTTTTACATTGCCGTTGATTGATATGGGAGACCAGATTTTTGAAAAGAGGGGACCACTTCACCTTGATCTGACTTCACGGTTTGACCGCTTTGACCGCTTTGAAGACTCGCTTCACCGGTGTGTGCGGACAGTGCCCGACGAACTGGAGCTTCACCGGTTCTGGGGGCACTAACCATCGGCTGGGCCATGTGCTAGTCTTCATGACGAATCAAATGGACACACCAAAGCAATGATAAGACTTGATCAGACTGAAAATCACTTCCTCCACTATAAACACGACTCGGTCGACGGCGACGACTCATTCAGAACTGACGAGATGTCGGATCACAAGCGATCTAAAATCTTTCGAGTTCAACACCCAGAGGTCGTCTCAAATTAGCATACCAATTGGAGGAGTCCAGCTCAACGGCATTCGACCCGACCCATTCAGGACAGCCCGCGTGCCAGCATGGTGGCACGGCGCATGAGCCGAGTGAAGCGCAAATCCACCGGGGAGATCTTGGCCTTGCGGTCCGGACAGGGCATCCCCGGTGGGGTCGGGGGTATGGGGTCGTAGGAGTCCGCCGTTGTTTCAGAACCGAAGCTAGTGTAGGAGTACGAGTGAAACGATGCTGCAGGTAGGTGCATGAAACATGAAACAACGTTAGGAAAAGATAGTCTTTGGGTTGTCAGAAGCTGAGCACTCACCCATCTACTGTAACTGTCCGTGACAATCCAGTGTCTAGGGGTCAAATTTGTTGGACGCTCCTTGCCTGCCTAGCTGCTTAGCTCCCCGAAACAGCTCTTTGCAGCTCTTTGGACGACCCCCTTCGATGTGAGACCCAAGGTCCGCCATCGAACTGCGCTAAACCGTTTGTGCCTCGACAGAGGGAAGCGGCTCTTCGACCAGCCCGACGCTCCAGGAGAGGGGGTGGATGTGGAGTCCTTGATCAGCATGACCAACAAGGTCCGAGCTGAGGCAATGATCGCCGAGGCCGTGGCAGGTGCGGGTGCACGTGCGGGGAGAGGGAGAGAGAGAGAGAGAGAGAGAGGGAGGGAGGGAGGGAGGGAGGAGGAGGAGGAAGAAGAAGAAGAAGCAGAAGCAGAAGCAGAAGAAGAATGAGAAGACGTGGACTTGGGATGGCGACAGGTGGATAGGTGAGGAAATATGCGGTTATTATATGGTGGTTGTGAGTTTTTTCATTCAGAAATTCATTCAATTAGTTGGAAAAATAGGAGTGCCACGGGTCATCAGGTCGTTTCAAGAGGAGCTCCACTCTTGGACAACTTGGTCAGGCCCGTAGGGTGGGCTGGGGAGAATCCGTCCACCTTGACCGGTCAACAGCATGGGAGACCTTAGCTGGCGCCAGTGGTTGACCACAGCGCCATGACCAGAGGATCAAGTCCCACAATGTGTGCTCGAAATCACAAGCGGCAGACGAAAACCCCGGGTTTCAGCCACATCAGGACGTCACATTTCAAGTCCTTGGAGATCCTTGTAGACCCAAGTCGCGCATAGTTCTAGGGTCTGAATGCACGCGGGCTCGCCTCCCGGATGCGAGACAGCGAGGGGCGTTTTGAAAAAAATCTCGCTGTCAGATGGTCTGACGCCCGGCTATGACATCAACACCCTCCCGGAAACGGGGATCTTTGGCGAGGAGATCGCGCAACGCGGGCCGCGCGCCGCGCGCGGCGGTTCCTGTTGTCCCTGCCGAACCGGTCCCTGCAGAAGGGTGAGAATTCAAGCCAAGACTCTAATATCATGTAGGTAGACTCTTGATTTATTACATGTAGGTAGACTAATCCCATGTGGACTTAAAAACCATATAGAAACCTCTTCCAAAAAGACAAGCTTGGGGGTTTTGGCCTGGCATTTGAGCAGCTCCGAGCCTCACCGGTCGCTGTCCGCTGGCCCAATCAGGCTCGAGGTGTTTCTCAGGGATGGCTGGTTTCGATGTGTTGGGGATTTCTATAGGGATTGTATTGTTTGAATTCAGCTGTGAACAAAAAGCCATCCTGGAGATTTGTGGAGCTTCACTGGAGTCACATATGATGATATGTACACTCCCTGAAACAATCCATGGAAGTGGAAGACTACTTAGTTTGTAGAAGAACACAGGTTGTACATTTCACTCTTCAAATGTTCATATTGGTTCGCATCCTGTCGTGCACCCCACATACCGTCAAGGGGCTGCTGGTGTAGGGGAAAATGATCATCTAAGCTCGGGGCCATGCCATCCACTTCCTTGATGATTTCAGGGAGTGTAAATCTAGAGGCCTTAGGAGATTGAAATCGTTAGGTTTTCCCCAAGACACACTGAACAATCTTTGGCTTCGCTCATCCATGTAGGGCTGAAATTACCCCTGTTGGTCCGTCAGTCAGTGAAGTAGAACCCAGACACTCCATGGTGTGGAACACAGTTATACTATGTTATACTGTTATAGTTACAGTTATATGTATACATGGACCTCTTTAGAGTCATCTCAGTATAGGTATAGACGGGTTTTGGATATAGGCTTGCCAGTCCAAGAGAGTGCCGAACACGGGAAGAACCCGTTTTGGTGGAGCTCAGACGCCTTGTCGCCACGCGAGGAGTGCTTGCTGGGCCTGGGCATGGCCAGCACCACGGTTCGTGCCTCCAAGCTGTCGGGACCTCCCAGCGTGAAACGGACCTCGCTCCGAGGAGTCACCCAGCCGTTGGAGTCCAAAGTACTGGTATACCATAGCTGTTCGGGTAGAACAGAGCAATAGCAATATGTACGAAAATTCTTGCATCATGGAATGAATCATTTAGTATGTTTTCACAGTGAGTCTTTTTGGGACCCCAATTGCACTCAGGAGATCCGTGGCCAAGCCCCACATACTCTTTTTACAGCAAACACAAGTTGAAGGCCACAGTTGTTGGCCCGCATGTACGTTGAAACAGTGGTTTTGTGAGACTGAGTTGTGGAGAGGGCCATTCATATTGTTCATCAGCCACATTTAGATTTCTGGAGAAACCTGCGTGCAGCAAATTGCCTACTAGTGTCCTGGGGCCTACAAAGTTCTTGCGCTGAAAGAGGCTTTCAGCCCCAATGACAGTGTGTCTCAACTTGTTTTGAAAAAAGGACCCAGGCAAATGGGCTCCTGCTATCTCCTGCTCCATTGAAACATACCCAGTAGGAGACTCTGCAGCATGGGGAACTCAACTCCCGTTCGATCATGGCGGGGAGAACGATCCCCGGTGGTCAGGGCGGTCGTTGTGGTTGGCGCTTCCCGACGGCGCTCCCGATGGCGCCAGGTCCATCGTCGCCTTGCTATATCGCCCGGTCTTTGAGAAATTGCTCCAGGAATTCCCGCTCGAGAGGAAGTCCCTGAAACGCGGCTCGGCCGAAGAGAGAGAGAGAGAGATGGGGACCGAGCTGGAAGGGATAACTTTAAGAAATCACGCAACACCGCCGAAAGGCAAGCCGAAGCACACAACAAGACTGTGTGAACAGCAAATCCCAAACCTGTCCCCTAGAAGTCCAGTTTGACGAGTTCTAGCCTCAGTGAAGTAAAGGAAGTTCCTGAACTCGTTCCACAAAAAAGAACCTATATTCTTTCTGTAGTCTTTGACTCCCCAGGGGTGTCTGAAATGGAATTCCGTGGCGGCCTTGCCAGGCTTTCAGCTGGGCCCCTTCCCGAAGCCGAACTTCCGGGACCGCGGGAACTGCCGTTGCTCGCGGAGGGTTGGTGTCAATGAAGAGAGCTCAAGTGGGGTGAGGCAGAAGTGGAGGCATACTATGGCGCAGACTTGTTTGACACTTGTACGTTTCATGCTGGGGCATTTTTTAAAGACATTTTTTGACGGCCTGGGCAAGAGGGGATAGGCTGCAAGTCGATGCAAAGGGAGATGCTTTGCTCCAAAACACACACAGACACTTACACTGAAGATGCTGGGAAGGAGCTCCATTCTGTAAGTTTCAGTTATATAATTCATGCGTTAGCTCTTCAGAGTTAGTTGCAGTGAAACGGAAGAAACACATTACCAAACTAGTGCAAACGACCTTGTCCTGGCAACAGACCTGCAACATGGCCAAGAAACAACAACCTGCTTTTTGCATCACAGAAATTCTCGGAGTTAAAAAGCAGGTACAAGTGGTTGATCAGACAATCCACCGAAATGCCAAGGCTTCGTTGGACTGGTTAGACAAATCGGCTCCAGTTTGCATACATATATATATATATATTTATAACATCTGTACAAGCGCTCGAAAGCTAACAGATTGTCGAAACGTTTCAACCAAACGTCCTCTTGGAATAGCACACCTGCATACCCATCCCGGCCCATTTACCGGCCTGATGCGGATGACTCAGCACCCTTGCTCTTTTCTTAGACTCTTTTCATCTCCGAGACCCCGGACGTCCCACGAGGACTTGCCGATCTGTCAACACGTCGACCTCAGCCATGAGCTCTTGGACTTCTTCGGGCAGCACGTGGAGCGGCGGATCTTCTTCCCCGGGGACCGACGCCGCGTCTGCGGTGGGCGGTCCGATGGGTCCGATGGGCGAGTTTCTCAGGGGTTGATGGGTGTGCCATGCCACTCCTGGTGCAGGGTTTTTGCATGGTATTTTTAAAGCAAAGCCGTGCAAAGCCTGTGTTTTGAAGAATTACCTTCCTATAGGTAACGAAGACTATCAAAAGGATGGTCGTTGAGATGACCTGAAAGGGAAACAGATCCCCTAGTACTAGTTCACTAAGGAAAAAGTGTAGTCTTTGTGTAAACATAATGCACATTTTACATGCAAAACTTTTTTTTAGTAACAAAAACCTTGGGACCGCGTGGTCGTGGACTTCCACTCAAACCGACCTCTGCGGATCGGATCAAGAGACGTTTGTGTTTCCTAGATGGATGTGTCTGATGAACAAAGACACGACATGATCATTGTAAAGTTATATATGTACTGTACAGTTATGTATAAAACATTATAACGCTATATTAACACATTTTAAATTAAACAGGAAAACCCAACCAACGAGATTCTAGATGTTTTGTGACACCCTTCGCGATTCGTGATGTTTTACCCCTGCAGAGCCTGGTATCATTCCACATGTGAAGCATTTCGACATGTAGAGACCAAGTGACATCTACTCTATGTTCGACTCGAGTTGATACTCGATGACTTTGCGACGGTTCCGGCTCGCTTTCTTGTGGAACTCTCGCCACAACGTGGCCCGGGAACGAAACGGCCGGCGTGAGCGGCGGGATCTGGAAGCAGCAGGGGTCAGGGAAGAAACCCAAGGCAACACAGGAGGCACCCTGGGTCCGGTCATGCAAAAACAATCAAACATGCAAAAACAGTACTCCTAGGGCCAGGCTGTTTTGCTGGTCCTAGAAGGAGCCACGAACTGTGTCCTGTGATCCCCCAGGATCGATGAAGGTAGAAGCGCAGGATGGCACGGGTCTGTAATCGGGTGTATCTTGGGGGGTCCTGAAGACTCACCCATTGGAGAGAGTGCACTACCCATGCTTAACACACGCACATATTTACACATCATGTACTAGCTCCCTCAAAGTGGCTTCTATCAGAAGCCACTGAAGCACTGATATATCAATCGCCCACTTAGTTCATGTATGGAATACTAGACGACATTGACCCCTTTTCAACCACCTGAATGTCGAGTCACCATCCCAGTCCCATTCGGACCATCCAACGGAGTGGGTGCGGCGAACGACGCAGGATTACATTGAACCAGAGAGCTTGCAGCTCTTCCTTCCGAAGCACCTGTTGAACCCGGTGGTGAACATCACATATGCCATCGCTACTTGGAGCGAAGCGGAAGTCGCTTTTGTGCGTCTCTCGTAATAGATAAGGGTCTTGCTATAAATATGTTTTGATTTGATCAGCCCATGATACGCTTAACATGAACATATGAAAGGTAGTAATGTGTTGTATAGTTAGCACCATGAATTCCACACGTTACACTTTCTAAGACCCCAACGCTTTTCCCCCAGATCTCTCGGATCGGTTGCCGCTTCACCGGCTTCACCGGCTTCGTACCAGGCAAAGCCCCGCTGCGAGCTCTAAGGTTCAGGTGGGCCACGTGCGCGTGATGACGCCTCCGGGCTTGGAATTGGCGCCCTTTGGACATCTCTCCAGTGGCGACATTTTGGGCCCAGGCGCAGGTTCATGTGTTGTGCGTGCTCGGTGTCGGTGTCGGTGACGGAGAAGGACAGGACACGCCGGGGTTTCACGGCGACGGGCCTTTCTTGGGAATTGGGCCCAGTTGCTCTTTTTGGTTGGAGGGGTTGAGATGGTTTACCAATTTGGAGAAGTTCTGTGAAGATCCCAGCCCATGCAGGCAAGGGATGGTGAACTGGCCCAGGACGAACGTTCAGCTTTGGAAAGGGCGTCTGTGAAGCTGCCATTTGTGCTTGGCGTTTAATGTTCCATGTGTTGTTTTCTTTGCAATCTGATTGCACTCTCATCATCCTTCATCCATTCTCATCCTCCCTTTTCCTTCGGGATGACTGTTTCACAACCAGAAAAACGCCAAACGCCTAAAGCGCCTAAAGCCTCCACCCGCTCCACCCGCTCCACCCGCTCCACCCGCCCCCCCACCCGCAGGGAGCATCTTGCCCGGAAGCTGGTTCTGGTCCTCGGTGAAGGTTCAGGCCCTGCAGGTCGTCTCGGGCAGGGACGGGCGCTCGCTCCGGGCCGATGGGCGACGGGAGACGGGAGACGGCGAAAGGCTCCGGCACAAGGCCTGAGGCGTTGATCACCTGGTCCAACTTGTGGGTGTATACCTCGTGGTGGTTTGTGGAACAGGATATGCCTGGTAGACTTATAGATGAAGCTGATACACTTGTAGATGGCAAATTCTTTGAATGTCAGTTAGAAGATGTTAGAAGGATGTACAAGGTAGATGACCTGACCGCAGCCGGAACCCAGCAGCGCTGTCTTTCGCCGACCAAAAGCGACGATGTCGCAGATTTGCTTCGTCACCGTGTTACACCGGGGCGTCATCGCCAGAGGCTTGGAGGACGGTCTCGGGCCACCGAGGAGGGGTTCCCAGTGGATGACAGGAACAATACCAGGATAATCTATGTTGGTGGCTAAAAGGATCTAGAATTTTAAGACGAGCAAGACCACCACCCCAAGGAGCCAAACGGAAGTCCTTTTCCGAACCCCCCCTTAAAACCGCAGGGCAAGGTGTAGATAGATGAAGGGATTTCGGGTCACGGATGTTTGCACTTTTTTTGATCCTGCCTTGCCCCTTGGAGTGACTCCAGGAGCACCCGCAATATCCTCCCCGATGCTCGTGGTCTGTCTTGTTGAAGGTCCACGGAGACTGGACTCCGTTCCACCTGCGATGGTGCGCATGCTACGTGCTTGGCACATCTTGTGGCAGAGAACAAAGGAGGGACCCGAGTCCCAACGAATAGAACTCGTCATCGACTCAAGCCTCACGGCTCCATGGCATGTTGTTTGGTCAGAGTGGACCGCTCGATGGGGTGGAACTGGCACACGCATGGAGGGACAGCGTGACCTCAGTCTTCTTCGGAGAGGCAGCTCGAAGCGCCACCCACTAATCGGAGCAAACGATCGCTGATCGTTGCTCAACAAGAAGGAAGCTTGGGGAGGGGCGGGGCCCCTGGATTGCATCACATCCAAGGCTACATGCCACATTTTGAGCTGAGGGAAAGTCTGCGGCCAATTGACCCTTTGAACTCTATAGATATTATAGAAGAGGAATAGGGGGATCTACTACTCTCGCTCAACCGCCAGGTTCAACATATTCAGACCCCCACGTGTTCGGTGGCTGGTCTTGTCCCATCTGTCTACTCCCGCTGGCTCCCGCTCAAATCGTGCTTCCGTGTGGCCGAAAGATGCTTCGGGCGACGGGTGAACCGGCACGAGCTTCGAGGAGATGCCCAAAGAGAGGGAGAAAGCCCGCGGCCTCGGACGGTTTACACGCAGAGCTGCATGTTCCGACGCGTCCGTGGACGCGTCTCCGGACTCGTGGACGCAGCGCAGATGGGGCTGGACCATTCCACTCGTTTCAGAGCTCAATCTCCGGGTCCTAAAGGATGGGTATTTAAGACCTGATGCAGTTCGACCTATTTTTTGTAAGTTTTATGGTGGTTTTTGGCCATCGGCATGCATGATCGATGGGGATGTGGTGGTTTTTGGATGACGACTTCAGTCTGGATGGGCTGGGAGGAGGCTCCTCGAGGCCCAGCTGGCAGGATGGGCTGGTCTAGAGGGTCTTTTGAAGACTTACAGTAACAAGGGATTGCAAGCTAAGCTACTTGGAAATCTTTGGACATTGTAACCAAACATATCCAAACATATGAAACATGTGCCATAGCTGCTTGATAGTGATCTATAGTGCACTCATTGAGAACTCCGAAAGCGCCGATTTTCAGAATCGTAAGGGCCAACAGAACAAGGCAGCAACACATGGTGCAGTCCATCAATGGGTTGTGAGTTGAGGGAATCCTCGCGCATCAATGACGTTGCTTGGAAAGTGGATAAAACACCATATTCAACACCCAGCTTTCAATTGTACGAAACCATATGGGCCAATGGCAGTCCTCAACAAGCTGGTGGTTCTTCCTGCTTTTTCATGGCTTCATGGCTTCAGAGTCTGAACGGTCGCGGCGGTCCCAGGTCTTGCCGCTCTTGGTGCGAGAGAGCTCGAACCCCAACGCTGCGCAACAGGCTGCGGAGTGAGAAGAGACGGGCATCCCGGGAAGCAGTCGGTGTTGGCCGCTGAAGAGCCACCAGGCGATAGATTTAAATTGGTCAAAGTTCAAAACATGTCAAAATGTGTCAAGACATGTCGTCAAGACTGGGAAACTCGTCCAGTTCGTTTTTATATAAAATGATTCCTTTGGGGTGAGATCTTGCACATGCCTTGGAAAACGAAGCCGGAACACAAGAAACGATCCTCTTGGTGTGATTTCAGCATGTGTATCCTTTTTGAGAAGTACTGGGCTCAGTGAAGATGAAGGGGTAGTGCAATTTGCTGTACTTCACATTGTAAAAGCCACACTGAGGTTGCTTTCGATTATCTTTTTCTTGAGGGTTTGGAGTGAATGAAATGTGGTGTCTCAAACGAAGCCAAATTCCACGAAAAAGTGTCGTTTGTAGACCCTGGCCCAAATGCCACGCACTGTAAGAAGTTCCTTTGCTGTACTGGTAGGGCGTTTCAAGAAGTTCCTTGCTGTACTTCACATGGTGAACAAACAGAGCATAGTAACCTAACTGGTGCAATTCCGTGGAAAACGAGGCCGGAAAACCAAAAAAGAAGCCTCAGTAGAAGTGAGCCAACTTTGGACCTTTTAATTTTGGAAGGTCAATGTTGTTTTTGTCGATTTCTTTTTTAGATGGATTAAGATCGTGTGTCTGTCATTGTGGGCATTGCTGAGTGTTTTCTGCAGCCTTGCTGAACCATCGTGATGTCAATGCTAGTTTCGTTGGGGTTTGCTTTCTCAGTGTGGCCCCCCTGTGCTCACACAGCACTTGGCGCATTGTACCAACACGGCTTTGCTGGTACCAACACTGACGAATGATATACAAAGCGATACTGTCATTAGTAGCCAACAGCTGTATTCAACTCAATAGCACGCATCATGTCCACCTTTCAATCCGGCCATCAGTGACGTTGCGATGCAACAGCTGCAACTCTCTGACACCAGCGGCCCAAAAAGGCCTTCACCGGTCAACCCACATCCTTCTTCACATCGGGCTCCAGCTGCTGTTTTTGGTTCTGCGCCGGCTGCGTGGTCTTGTTAACCTCTTGTGGCTCTTGTGCGTTACATCACATGTTCGACCCTTCGGCCCTCTTCCTCCGTCCAAGGCCTCTTGCAACAAGCCATTCTGACTTGAGCCGGTACTGGCAAGGTCCTGGCAAACTCCCCATTTTCTGGAATCCTCAAAGCCCAAAGTGATCCTTTTTTTGGCCCGTGGGAGGCCATTCTTTGGCTGCAAAAAATCAATCAAAGAGCTGCATCGCAAGTGTAGTTCTTCTTTGGCACCATCGCACGGAAGACTAAAACATGGACGGTCCATTGGCACAATGGCACAAGTCCGAACTCGCTGGGGTCGCACGAATTCCCTGCATCTTCTGCAAACCGCTCGCGCGTGCCCGCTGGGAGGCTTCCCCGATGGTTAATCTAAGACTCGAGACATGGACGTCGACGGGTCGAAAAGAGGTGAAGAACACCGTTGAGATTCACAGACGTTTAATGACGTTTATAGACCTTTCTCTTTCATAATGGTCTATAAAGAGAAAGGATGAGAAAGGTCAGAGAAAGGCTTTCATAACACGATGTGAATAGGCTTTCCAATATATGCCTTCCATTACACCATTTCACCCAGCTTCCCAGCTTCGCAGCCCGGCAGGTTCCACGCAGCTCGGAGAGGGTCCGGGCCACCGGTGCTGTGGAGAACACCGGCGTCGTTCGGTGAGAACCGTCGGACACCATCCAAACACACCCTCTTCGAGACGGGCCATGAAAACAAGCTAAGAACAAGCAAGGAGTCGATGGCGACGGGACCAAAAACATGGGTTGTCACCCACGTGGGGACCCCGAGGTCGAAATTTGGAGGTCGAAACGGGGTCGTCGAATCGGTCAGAGATAGTATGATAGAATGATCATAGATGTCCTCACCCACGGCAGAACCTGTTTTTTTCGTATGATATCAATGATATCGTGATATCGTATGTTTTTCTTTTTTTTGGGGGGGGGGGCCTCGTTTTCAAGCCACGGGAGTCAAAACAGCCGTGGTCGCCCCCGTGAGGAAATACCAGTACTTATAATACCTGGCACTTCCAATGGGTGTCCAATGGTGACCTATTATTATAAGCAGTGTAGGGTTGTCCGTTGGTAACCCCTTGGAAGCAGCCGGTAAGATACCTTTTTGTTTTGTTGTTGTTGTTGTCATTTACAACAAAACTGCATTTCCTAAACTGTTCACATGCAAACTCTTATTTTTTCCGGTGAAAAGAAACACGTTTCTGGAGACATAGGCCCACGAGATTTCAAGCACCAAGCAGGACTATTCTTCCAGGTTTGTCAAATACAGCGCCATGCAGCGCCTTTCTTCCCTGGACACTGATCACTCATACTACTTGACTTGACTGCCATCTTTTGCCCTAGGAGAAACTGTGCAACTATGTTTGTCACTCGTAAGTTCAACTCGTTTGTTCGTCTTCAGAGAAAAAGCGTTACTGGCGGGCACCAGTCCACGTGTTTGGAAGACATTCTTTGGTAAAGCAGACAAAACGTGGAATGCTTGAGGATTCATTTACAGTGAGGTCTACATTTAGTCCACACAGGACGTGGTCGAGTGCAAGAAGATGCAAGACGCATAAGGTTTCTGTTATTTTAAACGAGACTGCCAGAAGGGCAGGGAGTCTTGACTTAACCCAATATGAGAATGCCTAGGACCTGCTTCCATTTGGATTGAGTCATATACCCTTCACATATGGCGTTGCCATTGGCCCGTTTCCTTCCCCCCGAACCAGTGGGGGGTTGGACCTCTCCTACCGGTTCGCCCGGTTCGGCGCGCAGGTGGCCAAGGTGTTGCGTGAGCGGTCCATTTTCGCCCACGCCTCGCAGGCGAGTGATGGGACAGGTGGTGAGTGCATGGCGAGTGCGCAGTCATGACTGACCGTCACAACATGAAGGATAGCCTTAATGACTTGACCAACAAAAAGATGCCGTCACATACGGTCACTAGCTTGCTGATCAGCTATTGTTTGTTCATCCAAATTGATCTCCGGACCTACAAAAGGCGCCAGAGTGGTCGGTTTTGGGGCTCTGCAGGTCAGCCCATACCCTTTTGCAGTGCTTTGGTCAGCCCTCGGCTTCCGTTCAGGAGTTCCTCGCCGAGATCTTGAACTATGGCTCCGTTCGGGTCGGGGGTTCCAGAGAGGAAGCAGTCTGGATAGGGGGATTTGGATGGGCTAAGAGATGCTACGAGCTTTCTTTTTCAGGTGCGTTTCTGAAGGCCTGAAGGCAGGGAAGATCAAGGAATCAAGGGTTAACCAGTTGCTTTGCAGTTATTGAAATTGATGCTTTTGTGATTTCAAGAGTCTTTGCACACCCTCAGATATCGCCAACGGTCCACGGGCGAAACGGTCGAAACCGCGTGGTGAAGCCTTCTTTGCCGGCGAAGCTGTGAGGTCTTCATGCCGGGAGACCGCATCATCCAGCAGGCCGAGGGAGTTCCGGGGGGCTGTTGGTTTCGTACAGGCTGAGACTAAGAGTAGGCTGGCACTTCCAATGGGTGTCCAATGGTGACCTATAAGCAGTGTAGGGTTGTCCATCCAGGTAACCCCTGGGAAGCAGCTGGTAGGCTTGAGATGGTTTGTTTTTCAGCAAGCTTCGTCGACGTCCACGGATGAAAAAACCAAGGCTTGCTGGAAAGACCCGTCTCATGTGTGTCGGCTAGGCCAGATGGCACTGTTGATGGATCATCCGGAGTCATTGGGATATGAAGCAATCCGAAACATGAGCGGTTCCCTTGTGTCTTTGATTTCCCCATGCAGATTCTATCTACCTCAGGATGACCACATACACAAAAGAGTTGATTGGTCGACCAAGGTAGAATCAACTTCAATGAATCAAGTCTTTGTCCCAAGCCGTACGCTTTAAATGTGTTTACTTCTTGAAACATGTGGTCTCGAGTGTAAGACCATATTACTGCTGGTTTGGATTGTCCCACCTTTCTCCTTTGTTTGAGGAGGAGACTACGTCACATACATGTAGTTACAGATAGCCTGGGATGCGATGTGGCACCTGGTATGCACCTACCCTTCCAAATACCGATCCTCGTCCAATGTGTTGCGCTTGGTGAAGTCACAATGTCGGTCAAAAGGAGTGGTGTCCCAGGTAGGATCCACAAATTGCCAAACGTCAAACGTCTTCCATTTAAATTTGTTGATGTATCTATAATATATATTGGGTTGCAGGCCATTGCTATTCGGTTGGAGGCCGGAGGCCATTGCTAAGCCGGTTGGAGGCCATTGCTATTCAACGTTTCGCTTTCCCACAGCCTGATGGGCGACCGAGGATGGGCGAATGAGACTCTCAACCTCAAAGATTCGGACGTTGGATGGTGCCCCTCACCAAAGGCCTAGGTGCCTCATCGCAGGGTGCCGCAGTGTCTCATTCGCCTCTTCCCGCCAGTCACGATATTGTGACAAGACAACCACATCTCCCGCTTTTTGGCCATGGACCCGCATGTGATGATAAGTTACGCTCCTTGAAACCATCATGGAATATCATGGACGTGGCATGGCCCCGAGCTTGGATGACCATGAAAGCGGATTGAATACCAAACAGATCCAAAGAGGTAGTTTTCACTCCACTTCCATGTGAGTGTGTCGAGGGTTCGGTCCTCCTCCATAGCCAGCATAGCCAGCTCCATCTCCGTCGTCGGCTTCGTCCAGAAGCGTTCATCAACGCTTGGTCGTCACCTGGCACCTGCAGGGCGCGGAGGGGAACTCCATGTTCATCCTCTCCTTGGGCCTGGCGCAGGTGGGGGGAGCATCACACATGGCCGTTACTTTTGGGTGGAATAAGGTGGAATTGAGTTGCTAAGCTGGTTCGGTCGACGAAGGAGGTCATTTCTGAAGTTGATAGGAAGAGGTGAATCACCGGCACTGGTCCTGATTATTTATAGCTGGAAGTTTGGAAGTGGGAAGCGACAGTGACAGTCGAAATGACTATCAACAATCCACACTTCATCGATTGTGTTGAAGCCGAGAGTCTCAGGGAACAGCTAATTGAGGGTATTCCGGGTGAGTGAGCCTTGGGTGATCCTTGGTTGGACCCATTGAACAAGTCCTCCTAGAGCACCTAACACCAAACATAGAGGATACTACTTTCCACCGTATTCACGATTTATCGATATTTCAGGTGGTGCAGGATGTTCGTCAACAGTACAGAAACTAGAGGACACGAGGAACGTTGTTGAAGTTTTCATTCCATGCCATGTGTCTACAATTGAGAGATGATCACCCTCATCGTAGCCCTCTACAGCATTCGGCCACCATCACCGTCATCTTCACCCGTCTTGTCATGGGCAATTGCTAGTAGGGTGTTGCGGCCGCAGGCCATCGCAAGTAGGGGACCGGAGGCCATTGCTAGTAGGGTGGACGCCCCATCACCGTGGACCCGTAAAACTCGCCTGAAAGAGGGCAACCGAGACGTGGCAAAAAGTCACCGGTGCCCGGCCCCGACTCCCCAGCCGGCTTGGAGAAGACCTGGCAGTCGGACTGGCAGTTGATCGTGTAGCTTCATGGCGGGCTGGAAGCGTCTCAGGTGGTCAAAGAAAACCTGGACTATGCAGGGAACAGTGTTGTCAGGAGCGGATCGGGCGCTGGGTGAGGGATTGGCCAATTCGGAGACCAACAGCCAACAGCGATGGGGCATGGCTGAAAAATACGTCGGAGTCGTACTACTCAATTTGAAAGATCTGTGTTCAGGGGTACCTCAAAACTCCTTGACTTCCGATTCCCTGTGCAACGGTTGGGGGTCTCCCCATTAAAGTGGATACCCATACGCATGAACTTACGTAATTCATCTAACTAGAGGAGCCAGAGCCGCCTGAGCTTTCGGATTTGGCCGCGAAGATCTGCGAAGGAAGGAGATGCGGCACATCCGGCCAATCACTACCCCCTTGCCATGCCTGATCCCCCCGGGGTCAAATTTATAACTTACGATTTTTAATGATTTTTGATTTTAGGATGATCGCATTTTACAGCCCTATAGGGGGTGAAAATTGTTAGATCTAAGGTTGAGGTAGCCTATATGAATATCTTACTCTTTTTTAACCCCCCCTCAAAGAGGTCTTGGCCTACGTCTTGAGACTTTGAAAGCAGGGGGCGGGGGGGCTCAAAATTGTAAGAATGGATGGGCAGGAGCAGGGTCAGGGGGCATGCATCCACCTGACCCTCAAAAATGTAACTTACAATTTTTGAGTGCGTACAGGTTCAACAAACACACATGAGGGTCAACAATGTAACTTACAATTTTGATCCCTGTCTTGTCAGATGGAGGTATGTTAGGCCTTTAAGTTTAAAAATAACTGTTTTCCCAAACCTGCATTTTGACACACACACAAACAGAAGGGGTGGCCATGGGGCCTGGGTTTTGGTTTTCCATACATTTTCATAAATATTAGGTAAATGCATCAGTGCCACAATCAAAACCAAAAAACACTGATAAATATGCATAAAGGATAAAAAAACACATAAGAAAAAAACAAAAAGAACTAAAAACCATGGTAACCATGGGAAAACAAACAAACTAAAAAAACAATTCTGGGAGGCTCTTGGCTGGACCCCCCAAAATCAGAAAAAACACAAAACCAAAAAAACCTTGGGAAAACCAACAAAAACCAAAAAAACAAAAAAAACAATTCTCAGAGACTCTTGGCTGGACCCCCCAAAATCAGAAAAACCAAAAAACCAAAAAAACCTTGGGAAAACCAAAAAAAACAAAAAAAACAATTCTCAGAGACTCTTGGCTGGACCCCCTTTTCCTCAAGACTTCCCCAGAATTTTTTTTTTGTTTTCCCAAGGTTTTTTGGTTTTCTGATTCTTCTGATTTTGGGGGGTCCAAGCAAGAGTCTCTCAGAATTGTTTTTGTGTTTTTTGTGTTTTCTCGAGGTTTTTTGGTTTAGCATCTGAACTTACTTCTCACCTCAAGGCATCTGTTCTTTTTGCTTACGTCTGAAACCGTCTGAGCTCAACACTTCCTTCGTCCTTGTCCAAATCTCCATATACAAGTCTGAGTGCATTAACTGCTGACTGGTATCAATGCGGTTGCCACTTGCATTTCCAAACAGCTTGACATGCAGTTGCGAGGACACTCTGTCCTTTACATGAAACGGTTGGAAATCTTTGCGAGCGTAATTCTGTGCTTATAGCTCAAGCGTTTACATCTTATTCTGGCGAACTTCTAATTTTAATTCTAATTCCTTTCTAATTCAACTCTCATCTAATTTCAATTAGGCTATAGTTATAGTTCAATACAAGTTTATTAAAATTCGGCTTTACTTCAGTTTTATCTTAGCTCTAACTCAAATCCAATTTAATTCTACCTAATTCTATTCTAGCTCTAGTCTATTTAGTTTAAGAAAACACATGCTACAAAACCCCGTGTTTTACAGTATTTTTTGCTCTGGAAGTGCTGGGAACAAGACTAAAACTCTTTGTTGAAGTAAATAGTTAGATTTATTTATTGTCAGTAATCACTGGAGATAATATATACATATTAAACATGTTTTATGTACAAACTTCTAATTCAAGAGCTTCCCTCTAGATCTCTGGGGATGATCAATTCTACAATAAAACTATATATAAGCTTTCCTTTCAAAAGCTTTCCTCTGGATCTCTGGAAATAGTCATGTCAATTGAAACATGCTATATATCAATAAATAAGTCTTTCTTTCAAGAGCGTTCATGAAAACACATATAGGGATATCTACTTTCCCAGAGATCCTGAGGAAAGCTTTGAAAATGCAAGCTCTTGCCCGCAGAAATCTAGAAGAACGCTTTTAACATACAAGGTTTCTATATGGTTGTTTAAATCTAAACATGATTATCTGCAGAGATCTATAAAGAATCTTTTATAACATAAAAGAGTCTATACACAATCTTTCCAAATCTAAACATAATTATAAGCAGAGATCTAGAGGACAATTGTTAACATAACCACTTTTATGGCCTGCTTCTTTTCTAATTATCTTGTTCCAAACCATCTGAATGACTGATTGCTGCTTCCAAACCATAATATATTTGTTCATATAGAGTGAGAGCAAGAATAGATATGTGTGTTTATATGGAGAGGGGCTGCCACTAAAGCATATACCCAAAATTTTAGGGAAAACCAAAACCCAGGCCCCATGACCACCCGCTCTCCACACAAAATTGTAAGTTACATTTTTTGAGCCCCCCGGCGAGTAAGGGAGTAGTGATTCCGGCCAGATTTAGAAGGGAAATTGACTGCCTCACGGTCTCCTTTCTTGGGCCTGTTTTTCACTTGAGGAATCCAAGGCCATCCAGGTCTCCGGGACTCCCCCAAGCGTCTTTCCTGCACGCGAACCTCAGAAACCTCTACTTCATCGGTGGCTTGACCTATGGCAGCGTCTTTGGCGAACTGGTGATGCTGGGCGTCCAGGCAGCCGCGGGCGGTCATATCGGCCAGTCTCTACAGCTGGCGTTGTTTGGGTTTATCAATGTTGCGACTGCGAGGATAGTACCAAACATGTGTGATGCACATATTTCTCAGATGGATGAGGCCAAATTTCTACCAGCAGTACAATTATTCTATAATTCGTACAGTTTGGTATGATGTCTTACAGTAATTACTTCTTATACTTTACTTTACAGTAATTCTTGTTCCCGTGCTTCCGGTCAGCTAACCCTTGACGGCATGTGACGGCAACCCGCATGGATCATGGAAGACCCGTTTGAACTCCACATGCACCAGAAATTTTGGTCAAAGCCAGAGAAGGGCAAGTGGGACCAAGTGGGACGAGTGGAAGAAAACTACGCAGGTGGGTACGTAAGTGCGATGTCATCCCCGTCTCATTGTTCCTGGAATAGTACTAGAAGAGACTAAATTCATCTAAACTCCTTGAACAATCGCTTTGCTAAAGCAAGAGCATGCAGGCTCGATTAAAAAAGAGAAGGGCTCGCAAGCTGGACCAAGTAGGGCAGGGTGTGGGCTAAGTAGGACATCATCCTCGAGTTGTTGTTTTGCAGCTCACATTCACATTCACCATCATTCACTATTCACTGTCTCATTTTTGGTCTTGGAACAATATACATGACAAACATCGGTTCAATTTGGAGTTCCACATTCATATGCTTCAACCACCTGCCAGTCCAAGCGGACCGCTTCTATCGTTGCGAGCTCCACTTGCTGTACTTGGGAGGTGCGGGACCGGCCCGGCGGGTCGTAGTACGTCGGTGTTGCTCCGGATACCCGAAATCATGATCGTTCATGAATGGATTTAATCAATTCCACAAGATAATCATGGTGACAATCATCATAACGATAATAATCTATAATCAACTTCTTATGGCTTTCTAACCATACATACACCATCGACTGTTTGGCTGTTGATGGCATCCATAAACCATCGTCAGCTTTGTCTTGTATTTGGGGTCGAGCAAAGATGTTGCGTCATTCAACATGAGTCATGTTGACCATGTTCTACTTCTTGGAGCAAATGGTGGAGATCAACGTGGCCATTGTCCATAGTTCTTGACAACTACGAAATCTTGACGTCTATGCAATAATCACATAACCAAAAGCAATAGCAACCGCAACTGTAGCCGCAACCACAGCCACAACCGCAGCAAGAGCAGCAATGTGTTTCAATGGCAAATCGTTTGGCCGCATTTGATCACCCTGCGATCAGCAGGACGGTTATATAGTTGGCAGTTTGACAACGCAAGGCCTTGGAGTTTCAAGTACAGTGGAACATTGGGTAATTACAGTATATACAAGCACCTGCTTTCAGAGTCATGTCCAATTGGTTTGGTGGGTACTGAGATAATTCCCTGGTAGGTCATTTAGGGTCTATAGAAGATGTGGTAAATTATGGTTGCATCGTCATTTACATCGTTTTACATCCCAACAAGCTCTTTCTAAACCTACAGACCCAGAATATATAGACTTGATATATATATATATATACAATGTGCCCGAACTCAGACTCTTGTGAACCCAACAGATGCCGCATCTTTACCAGGCATCCTGGCGGAGCAGACTTCGGCCTCAGCTGAATCGGCTCAAGCAAACAGAAGTCTTGGCATCGCATGGCATGTACCCAGGAGTGCACGGGCTGAATCGGAGTATTTTTCTCTTGAGCATTTCCTTCAACCTCGAGCTACTAGGAGTGCACGGTCCCCAGTACCCATTGATCAACAAGTTGGCTGGGTTGGTCCCTGTGAGCCAGTGGGAGTCAGAAACCAATTGGAGTCAGTGGGGTCAGTCCTCCCCTCCGCCCGGTCAGCACTGGTGTGGTGCGGTCAGCACCAATTGCAGCACTCTTTGAACATCCTTCTCGAGGAGAAAAGGCACCGGTGGCATCAACGCACTTGGGGAAATTGGCCTGGTTAATCAAGGGCCCCTGTCAATCAAGGTTGAATGCATCGATGCCGATGCCCATAAAAACCACCCTGGAATAGACTGAGACCTGTTAAGGGGTCCTTTCATTTTGCAGGCCCATGCAGACCCATCAAAAAACCCTTGGCTTGCAACCCATCTTCCTAAGACCATACCAGTGGCCTTTCACCCAGCCTTTTGACAGCGTCAAAGAAGGAAAACCATTGGAACATGTTGGAACCTTGAACAAGTCAAAGAGGCCTCACTAGGCTGGCAGGCCCAACACTTCTTGCCATGGCACTGGATCGCTAAGATGGCAGACCGGGCAGATGGAGGCGCTTTCCAGCGCCAGCCTTCCGAGACAGATGATGGAAGCGGATCGGTGTTCGCTGAAGAGATAAATATGTGGGTCCCATGGACAATCTCTCTATCATAGCAAACGAATTGTGGCGGTGATTCCTTTTTGTATTGGAACTCCTTAGATCCAATCTGCTTATTTGACACCTGTGCAAGACACAATGATTGTGTTTAACGGTGTTTAAATGATTATCACCTGTATTGGAGATCCCATATATATATATACACATATCATTAATTAATTACATATAATCTAGATCCATTTTCGCAGACCAATCTGAGCACATCTGAGCACTTGATCCAACGTCCTTAGTGGTAGGCTCGGCTGTACTCCGGCTCTGCTTTTCACAGGATGTGCTCCGACTCAGCAAACGTGTAGCAGTGAAACAAATCTTGTCGTTCTAGGGACCAGACTATTCACTTCCACGTGAATTCTCATCGGAATGGGCGCATCATGTGTTGTAGTGTAAGGACCTTAGTTCAGCCAATTCCACCATCCTTTAGGAATAACAACCACTGGGGCACGAAGCGTCCGCGGCTTCGCGTCCAGAACCTGGAGATTGACTTTGTGAGGTAGTGTAGTGTGGTTTTCCCCTCCTCAAACTCTTGGTAGTTCAAGTCCGGAAGACTGTCGGCCGACCTGCACTATCAACCACTGAGGTTGTTCAGCCAAGAGTCTAGATGATGGGGATGTTATGTGTTCCAACCGGGTCTAGGTGAAATATCGCATCCCTCCACAATATTCGGTGCATGGATCTCTATAAATGGGAACCCGTGTTCATGGAGCCATTCTATAGTGAGGGTTCCCTGGAGGAACAAGCTTTCGTTCAGGTTCACGCACAAGTTTGGTGCTTGGTTTGCTCAGAGAAGGGCCATTTATATTCCTTGTTAGTGCCCGGGCTTTTCAAAGCCGGTGTTGGCCGCCTCTTGTCGTGATTTCGCCATCGCCATCCATAATATACTATTTTTGTGTTCCGGGCACCGGCCCGGCCCCGGCCCGGTCACCGGCCACCGGCCCGGTCACCGGCCACCGGCCCGGCCACCGGCCCGGCCACCGGCCACCGGCCCGGTCACCGGCCACCGGCCCGGCCACCGGCCCGGTGCGAATCTGGCTAGCTTTCTTTGTTGATTCCGACTCCCAGACATGTCCAACCATCTTGTGCCAGGTGTACCGTGTGAGCTTTTGAGGTCATGGACAGCATGATCGCTTGCATGGGGCTCGAATCCCTAAGGGAACCCTTCGGCCGTATTTGCTTTCATTGCATCGCATGGCGCGGGATTGAAAAGAAGGTAGCTGGCAGAAGCGACCTACGTGTGTGGCTTAGAGCTGCATTGATTTGGATTGAAGGTATCCTGTTTTGAAGGCTGTTGCGGTCTTCGTTGCACGGTAGTGAGTACTCCATTGACAGAACTCGACTGCATTGAGTGCTTGACACGGCCAGCTACCAGCATTGGTAGCGGAGCCTGTCTGTGTGTTGCAGACA